GTGAGGCCAGTGAGCTGTTGGACGAGGTGGGGTGACTGGAACGACAGCTAACTCGCTTTAGGTGATCTGCTTTAGTTGGTTCAAAGGTCCAGCGAAGGGCGGCGTTGAAGCGCTTGCCGTCGTTCAGAGGGGTGATCTTCGAGGTGGTGCCCTTCTTCACCACGCGATTGCGCCCGTTGAGCCAGGCGAGCTGGGGGAGGGAAAGAGAAAGAAAAAGAGGGAAAGAAGTTTAATTACATCAAATGCTGCTGCTTTAAAGTGGTCGGCAAAAGTAAAAGGGAAAATGCTGTTGCGGCTTTGAATTTTCAATCGAACTCAATCAAATTCAATCAATTTAACCCAGGCTAATTTGCGGCTGTTTGGCTGTTCAGCTGTTCAGATCAATTGTTTAACGTTTTCACGAAAGCGTAGAGAAAAGGAAATTTAAATTCAAACGAATCGATTTAGTCTGTTTTTTCTTCAGTTCTCTCTCTCGATTTTATAGGCAATTGTTTTGCCTGAGCATCATCGCATGATCTTTTTCAGCGGTGTTTGAACACGCGGCGGCGGCAGTTCAATAGAGTCAAATCAAAGCACACCAAGCTAATAAAGATTCGATTTGGCCAGTGGCCGCCAGCATCTGAGCTCTGGTGGCCGTAATTGAATTAGAGTGAGTGATCCTCTCTCTTTTTCTCTCTCTCCTCTCAATCCTCTCTCAATAGCATCCCCCAATCTGTTTTCCTTCTCTGACCACCACCACCAATCACTCCATCTAATCTCATCTTTGGCTGCCGCTTTCTCTCTTATTCCCTGTCGCATCTCTCNCCTTCTCTGACCACCACCACCAATCACTCCATCTAATCTCATCTTTGGCTGCCGCTTTCTCTCTTATTCCCTGTCGCATCTCTCATCATCATCATTACTATTAGTCCCAGCAGTAGTATTGGTGATACTATTCCACTGCTACCGTGCACCGCTTTCCAACTTTCATTTATTGCCTGCACTTTTCCATTTCTCTACCTGCAGTCTCAACTGACATGCAATCGCCTTCGCAAGATATAAATTAGACCTGCCAAGGTTATCTCCCCCGGTTAGACTGCAGTCATCCTCATTTTTTTCTGCTCCGTGCGAAACAAACGCACACCATCATCACCGATCACTGCGGATCACTGTCACACTGGAAAAAACAAAACAATGAAGGCCGCTGACCACCGTCGTCGAAAAAAATCATCTTCTTTTCATTTAAGGCTATCGCTGACTTTCTCTCTCTCTTCTGCATTTTCAATAAAAAAATGAAAACATTTTCAATTTGCTGTTCTGTACTCACCTCTGGCGCCGGTCGCCCTCCGTGCGCCTCACAGGTCAGCTCGACGGTGGTACCCGCCGTGGTTAAAAGCACCTGTTGACTTTTTCTGGCACTGGGATTGGCGTTGACAAAGTCCCCGGTGACAATGACCGGCTCGCTGGGCGCCACCTGGACGGTAATTCGGGCGGTCTGCGAACGAATGCCCGGCACGGTGTCCAGGGCGCCAATCTGACATTGGAAGCTGGCGTCATCCTCCAGCGTCACCGAGGAGATCTTCAGCGAGTAGTCGCCTAGAGTTGAAAAAGTGGTCAAAAATTAGTGTGAAAACGGAGAAAATTAATTTACTCTACTTTAGTAGACCAATTTAGTTCCTGGTCGAGCATTTTTTTCCTATCACTAGAAAAATGTCTACACATGAGTTTAAGTTATGTAATCCAGTTTTTTTTCTATCAATTGACTAGCTGACAAGATAGTGAAAGTTATCCACTCGGGCTCTATTTTGAAGATTGATTTTAGCCATTGGCTACTTCTTTCTATCCCACAAATTGATTGTTGTCATCTTTTTTTCCATAATTGATTTGCCGTCTGATTCAGATGTCTGAACTGATGAAGTAGTAGTAGTAGTGCCCATCGATTGATTGACAATCAGAGCTAATTAATGGCGATTAGTCGAGAAAGCTTTCATTGCATTGCATTGCATTGAATTGGATTGGCCTGCTTTGCTGAGTCGACTTTGATCTTTTTCTCTCATTTTGAAAGCACACACACACTTACCTGTCGCTTCATTTTGCATCATCGAGTAGTTGGGGAAGCCTTCCAAGCGCGGATCAGTGCCCAGGCCAAAGCCGTCTCGCGTCCCTAAATTGTGAGAGGGGAAAGAAAGGGAAGAAAAGAAAAGATCAAAATAAAGCTCAGACAACCACAGTGTGCTCTTGCAATTTTGTTGTAATTGTTCTCTGGTAATTCTCTCTGCTTAGTGCTGTGTTCTTCTCATTATCATTAGGGTGGCCACCACTGGCGAGCATCACTCCTCGATAATTGACACCGACATTATTTGGACTTTGTGTGGTGAGAACAGCAGCATCACTGGCATCGATTACAGGCGAATTAGCGCTCCATTCAGTTCTGCTGTTAGTGAAGCTGAGAAAGCTTTTCTACT